TATGTTCATGCACACAAACCGTAATTTCATATTTTACAGAACATTACAGTTTTTATAAAGCCAACCACCATAACAATTTCATGGCCCCAAAATATAGCATACAGTGTTCCAGCTAGACATTTTTTTCACAATATGATAACATTTTTCAAATGAACATGTTTAATCTACAAATGGAAGGAATGGGACAATAATTTACTGTCACCAATAATATTTTCAACTTTATCTGTGTATGAATAATAACTCAAGGTGATCAAATGGAGGTGCTAAAAAACACATGGAAAACCCAGAAACATGGAGTTAATATTGCCAAAGGCTTAAGTGTGACTTTGAAAATGACAGACTTGCTAATTATCTTCTTGTTTAAATCAATTGATTCAGAGTTTAAATGTTTTTGTATTTTTTTTAAATGAGATATCAGACTTAAGCTCTAAGTGTTAGATAGAGGTAGGAAAGTGATTTTATATCCCTCATTATTAAGCAACAGTGTATATACAGGTTAAGCTTAATTGAATTCCAAAATTCAGTCACCATTACAAGATAAACGTCTCTTATCAATGGAAACATATCATGATTTCAATAAGAGGATGTACATCTTTAGCGGCGTGATAGAACTTAGAAGTATTAAGAGAATTTTATTTAATTCAAAAATTGTTTTAAGAAGTAGGAAAGACATAATAGTTGATTAAAGGGGAAGATTTATCAGAAGCAGCTGTCTTGCCTAGTAGTTTAAAATAACATGACCTCTTTGATCTGGGCCAAATATAAAATGGAGAGAATGAATTTCATTTTGTAAGATGACAATCTGTCTTCATGGTAGTTAAAGCCAACATGGCTGATTATGTGGTCAATTATCACCATTTTATATCTCAAATGAAACTTAAACTACTAAAGCAACAGATTTTAAACAAAGTTAAAGCCAATGGCAATTGTTCATTTAAGTGTCGACATTTTGGCCAAAAATGAAATTAAAATATGTAAACTAAATAAAACAAAAGTAGAACCATATAGACCTTGTCCTATCTAATCGAAATAATAACACATTTTAATTAGACCTAGATCAAAGAGGTTTAATATCTCTTTTAAATATAGGATTAACAAATAATTAGCAATCTAATTTCAAGAAATATTTGAATAATTTCGTTAAGTTATGACCAATGTCCACCAAACATGATATCACAACCATCTTTATCTGTAAGATTTGAAAATTCACAAAGATCATGGTTAATGATCTTAGACAAATCATAGTAAATCTTGGAAACTAATTTGTCAAGAATTACAATTCTGGCTCTCATCGAATCTCAAAAAAAAGAAATTCATTTCTAAACAAAATATTATTCTGTTAAGCTTAAATTCATCATCACAAAAAACAATATTTTATTTTTGTAACTGATTGAAAAAAGGAAATTCATTTCTAATCAAAATATTATTCAGTTAAACTTATAAACTCATCATCACAAATATGAATATTTTATTTTTGTAATTGATTGAAATTATGTGTGAATATATCCAGCTGCACTGGAACTGATGTGCCGTTTATAGTGTGATACAGATATCGTTAATGTAGTCACACTGGGGTGCATATTGACAAGTGAAACAGCTCTTTCAATGTATATTTTATTTCTTGCTTGTTGAAGCTGTGCATTGTGTCATGCTGGGTGGAAATTGGCCCTAAAAGGTGGAATTAATGAAATCATATTGTAGAATAAAGATTGTGTTCAGGTAATATTTACACATTGGTCAGCACCCATTAGTTTTAAAAACTGTCTAGCCACAACACTGCAAACAAAATAAATTTGTGATTTATCAGACATATTCTTTAATTTTGATGATTCAATAGTATGCCAATGACCAGCGTTCTATTCTTTGACAGACCAACGGCTGCCAGGCAGGATACGCCCACATTTTGCAGAGATGGATAGAGAACAAGCTAAACAAAAAAAAGATTTTTCGAACGATCAAGGGCCATAATTCAGGAAGTTACAATTCGATATGCCCGAATATCGACAGGAACCAAGATCTTTGGGTTATGAAGATATATTTCAAGTTTCATCAAAATCAGATCAAAATTGTGACTTCAAGAGGGTCCACAACCTTGATATACCATATATTTTACACTATTTGCGTTCCGAGGGGTGGCCATTTTGTCCGGTAGTTTTGGTCCGATTTTCACGAATTTCAAACTCAACCATCATTAGGGTGTAACGGTGATATACTAAAATATTTTTTAATTCGGATAAAATTGTGACCTCTAGAGTGACAAGCTAAAAAAGGCGATTTTTCGTACAATCAGTGGCCATAATTCAGGAAGTTATGGTCCAATATGCGCAAATATCAACAGTAACCAAGATCTTTGGGTTATAAACATGCATTTCAAGTTACATCAAAATCGGATCAAAATTGTGACCTCTAGAGGGTCCACAACCTTGATATACCAGATGTTTACACTATTTGCGTAGGGGGGGGCGGCCATTTCGTCTGTCAGTTTTCGTCCCGATTTTCACAAAATTCGAACTCGACCAACATTACGGTGTAATGGTGATATATTCGAACAGTTTTTTAAATCAGATAGTAATTGTGACCTCTAGTGGTACCACAAGCTTAAAACGCGATTTTTCGTACAATCAGGGGACATAATTCAGGAAGTAACGATCCGATATGCGCGAATATTGAAAGCAACCAAGATCTTTGGGTTATAGACATGAATTACAAGTTTCATCAAAATCGGATCAAAATTGTCTCTCTACAGGGTCCACAACCTTGATATACCATATTTTTACACTATTCACGGACAATTATGGTCCGATTATCACGAAATTCGAAGTCAACCTTCAATATGGTATAATGGTTATATAATCAAACGTTTTTTTAAAATCGGATAATAATTGTGATATCCAGAGGGACCACAAGCTAAAAAAGGCGATTTTTCGTACAATCAGGGGCCATGATTCAGGAAGTTAAGATCCAATATGCGCAAATATCGAAAGGAACCAAGATATTTGGGTTATAAACATACATTTCAAGTTTCATTGAAATCTGTTTAAAATTGTGACCTCTATAGGGTCCACAAGCTAAAAAGGGGATTTTTCGTACAATCAGGGGCCATAATCCATGAAGTTTTGATCCGATACATGCCAATATCGAAAGCAACCAAGATCTTTTGGAGATAATTCTATATTTCAAGATTCGTCAAAATTGGATAAGAATTGTGACCTGTAGAGTGTCCACAAACAATGGTGGACGGACGGACAGGGGCGACGACAATATACGTCCACATGAAAATGGGGGCGTATAAAAATGGATTCAGTTGAAACACTGACTTACCCCATGTAACACGGAAGCTGTGAGACTGTAATCGACCTTTGACTTGAGGTTTAGCAGGAACTGATGGTTGCTCTGGTAACGTTCTATAACAAACAACATCGCTCCATTTACTCTGACCCTCATCATTCTTGGCAGCCAGCTACAAAGAAATAATGCATACATAACAACAAGCACAAAAATAAGTCTATTTAAAATCAACGAGTCAGATCACAAATAGACATTTAAGGGATACTGAATACCCTGAAAACTACAATAGTGTGAAAAGTTGAATCTCAGTAGAAAAGTGGTTCCACTGCATATTTACAATAGCAGGCAATGTAAACAATTTTAATGCTAACAGGTCAATGACTGGAAAAAATCTGACTCCTAAGTAAAAGATAACTAATATTTCGCATATTGTGCATATAAAAACTTACTCTATATTTATATTCTGTATTACGTCGCAGATTACGGATTGTGAAAGACAAACTTGATCCATTATAAACAGATAAGAAACCATGACCCTGAAAATAAAAGTTTAATGTCTATATTGTTGTTAAAGATGTGTTCCTTTACAGTTAATTATGCCACATATTGCAACCTAAAAACATTATCTTTCACTAAATGAATGATATTTCTTATGAACAATAAAATAAATAAAATAAGAAGGAATTCCTTAAATGACAACCACAAGTTTGGCAGAAAATTATTAGCAAGCAAGTAAGTGTAGGATATAGCTTTATATACTACAAAAACACTTAGCCTATGGCTAAGTGACAGATGTACCCATAATGACAGTATATTTAGATAACAAATTAAATATGTTTTCCCATTCATAGTTTACAAGCTAACATATTTTTAGCAAGAAACATATTTTTTGCAGTAGTTTGAATATATCTCCAATCAAGGTTTATGTATTTCGGCTCTTGACTGTCGAGGAAAGAGGAGCATCAAAGGGACATCAAAGACATTGTAATTACTTATACTATTTTTAATCATAAACATACTTACTGATGACTCATCTTCCATTTGTAATTGAAATTGATCATCATTGGGTCGTTTAATCCAGGATAATGTTAAGGCATAAACAAACTGTGAGCCTAACATTGGCGGATCTGGTTGTGATGGTACAGTACCACTAGTATAAAAACTAACTGGCTCACTAAACTCACTGTAATAAACAATTAATAATTCAAAGACTGACAGCAAGCTACAAAACTACACCATCCAGCAGTTTAAGTCATTTGACCAGTTTAAAAAGGTTGTCACCAATCAATTATGTTTTCAAATGAATTTCATGGCTTGTTTCTATGAGAAGCTACAGTGGACTCGTGTCACATCCTATCTCTGATCACTCCGGATTGCTGTGACATTCGACATGATTTTCATGTCCCGATTTATTTCCTTATTACTTCAGCCAAAAAATCGCTGGTAAATCCGAATTCTGTATGTTTCGGATTCCGAAATCAATCAGCCGTCCCGTCACATAATTTCCATTGAATCGACACAGTATAATCCGTACTTCAAACGGTGGGTGTGAAGCATCCAATTATTGGTGAGATTAAAACTCAATGGGTGTGAAGCCAGAAAAGATTAACAAGCAATCACCAATCAATTATCGGTGAGATTAAAACTCACAAGCGCCGCTCTCTGTTGATTACTTTGATAATGTTATAAATTCTTTGTTGATTATTTTACAATTTATAATCTCTTGTAAGAGTGCGCTTGGTATTTGATTTTAGTTACTCATGTCAAATACCGCGACATTATATAAAAATTGCCGCGATTGAAGAATCATTATACACTATTGTATTCAAAATGTCTGAATGTCCTGCAAAGCGTGCCCGAACAGATTTGACATTAGATGTCAAGCGGCAACTTATAGCAGATTTCGAGAAAGTTCCACGACCTGCGCAGAAGGATTTAGCCGTTAAGTATTCAATTGGCCGAGCTACAGTGTCAGACATATTAAAGCGTAAAGATGAATTTAAACAGAAGTTTGCCGATAATTTAAACTGCAGTAAGAAACGATTTTATACCAACTCAAAATTTGAAGACGTCAACAGAATGACACGTGAGTGGTTTGTACGCGCCAGAAGTAAAAACATTCCAATATCAGGTCAAATAATTAAGAGTAAAGCGTTACTTTTTGCAAATGAAATGAATTGTGGTGATTTTAAAGCATCGGATGGCTGGCTTTCTTCGTGGAAAGAACGTTTTAACATCAAAGGATTTAAAATTAGTGGCGAAAGTGCAGGTGTTGACATCGATAGCGTTGAAGAATTCCATGCGCGCATCCCAACTATTGTTGAAGGCTATTCTCCTGAAAACATTTTTAATTGTGATGAAACAGGTTTGTTTTTTAGAGCATTACCAGACCGATCATTATGTGATAAAAAAATGGGCGCTAAAGGGGGAAAAATTTCTAAAGAACGATTAACAATCCTATTTTGTTGTAGCGCAACTGGTGAAAAACTAAAGCCTCTTGTGATCGGTAAAGCAGAGAACCCAAGATGTTTTAAGGGAGTGGACAAAATCAACCTGCCAGTCAATTGGTCGGCCAATCGCAAAGCTTAGATGACAGGTGCCATTTCCTCTGATTGGCTTGAAAAACTCAATCGTCAAATGAGGCGTCAACGACGTAACATTCTTTTGTTAATGGACAATGTACCGTCACATATCTGTGACACGTACAGCAACGTAAATATTAAATTTTTGCCACCAAATACTACATCAATATTACAACCACTAGATCAGGGTATAATCAGAGCATTTAAAGCACGATACAGACATCATATGATGACACATTTGATTACGCGAATAGATGAATGTAGTAAAGCCAGCGATTTGGTGAAGGGTGTGACTGTGCTAAATGCTATAAATTGGACTCCCAAAGCATGGCGTGAAACAACCGTTTCAACAATTAGCAAGTGTTTTAATCGATGTGGATTTAGTGTGGACGTAACTCCCGATGACGAAGATGACAATGTGCCACTAGCAAGACTAATCGAGACCTTGGTGCCTGAAACCAACGCGAGTGAAGACGGGTTTGTGAATTTTGACAGTGAAATACCAACCAAGTGTGACGATGAACTGGACATTGAACGACAGATTATAAATGAACACATAACAGAGAAGACAAGTGGACAATTGACTGAAGACGGGGACGATGAAGAATATACATTAACGACAAATTTGACCTATTCAAAATGCCTACGCATCCTCAACGACATTAAACACTTTGCACAGATTAAGGACGAAAAAGATGATCCCAACAATTAATTTGTTAGAAGATGTTGTCGAGGACTCCGCCTTACGATATGCTTCCGGTAATCTTAAGCAAACTACTTTAAACGACTACATGCATTGATATTATATTGTACACATGCATTGATATTACATGTAAATGATTTTATGAATATATTGTACGCATGTATTGTTATTGTTAATTATTTAATGTAATAAAATTTTGAAAGTACAGAAAAGTTTATCATTTATAAAGGGAATAGCATTCTGGTGATTCGAAGCTACAATATAAAAATACTTCCGGTTTTCGAAGTTACAGTATTTCCGGTTTTGGAGAAAGCTTGGTATTCCGAAACGTTGTGTGATCCGAATTACTGTAACGATCCCGTACGAGATCGGATGTGACAGAGTCCACTGTATACTAATTAAGCCCTTCATGTATGAAATGTGATGAGTGATTGCAAGGAGTTGGACAGAACAATATATATAACCATAATAAAAGTAAAGTTAATTTAATGTACTATATGTGTCAAAAGGGTGCTCACTAAAGTATCCAAGTAGCAAGGACTTATTATTGTACATATTCTAAACAAACATTTGGAGTTTGTTGGATAAATGAACAATCAACTACAAAAAGTATGATTTCATCATATGACTTGGGTAATAACTGAAAATAGCAACTGATAACAAATTTAGAAAACAATTACTGTGCAGGCTTTGTTTAAGGGCAATATTTATCCCCTATATGTTCCAATAATATTTAATGTCTACATTAAAATTCTGTGCCATTTCTTTAAACTAACCTCTTTCCGATACCATTGATTGCAGCTAATCTAAATGTATATCTTGTAGCCGGATGTAAACGTGACACACGATACTGTTTCTGTAAACCATTGTATATTTCTACAAAACTATCTCCCTAAAAATTACAATAATTATTATTACTACTTCATGTAATGGTCTAGAAGGTAGTCAATAGTTATTTTAGATCTGAGCTTCAAAATTTATCAATGAAACCCATTTCTCTCTTATACAAAGTAGTATCAGGCATTCCAGAGAAAGCTAGCCTACCGTCACCCCCCCCCCCCCTAAAACACATCAAGATTAGTAGACAAATGTGTACGAAAAAAATTACCTGTTCATATTCTAATGTGTAAGTTGAAATTTTAGACCCATTTTCAATAGCAGCCTAAAAATATAAAAACGTTAATATAGTAAAATACAAATAAAAAATTAAGACTGCATTAAATTTCGTTATAGAAATCTTAGATTGGGACTATACAATCTTCATCTCTCTGCCTGCAAAATTTCATGATCCATAATAAGTTAGTCAGATCTAAATGGTTCATCCAAGCATTTTAATTCTATTACCGGAATATAGCTGTTCACTATGTTGTCCTAAACATTGTAATCTATCGTATCAATGTCTCGCTTACACTTTTCATTAATCATTATAATCTATCCTATCAATGTCTCTCTTACACTTTTCATTAATCATTATAATCTATCCTATCAATGTCTCTCTTACACTTTTCATAAATCATTATAATCTATCCTATCAATGTCTCTCTTACACTTTTCATTAATCATTATAATCTATCCTATCAATGTCTCTCTTACACTTTTCATAAATCATTATAATCTATCCTATCAATGTCTCTCTTACACTTTTCATTAATCATTATAATCTATCATATCTATATCTCTCCTACAGATTTAACAGTGTAATCTGTCCTATTAATGTTCCTCATAGAGTTTTTATTAAACAATGTAATATGTCCTATTAATATTTTTGGTATTTTTTTTTAATACCAATACTATAGATTAACTAGATCAAATCAATTTCTTCTGTAAAATCCATGTAAATACAATAGTTTAAACTTACATTCCATTTGAGCATAATAGAAGTTTTGGTTCTAGAGACAAGTTTAGGAGGTTGTGGTGAGTCTGGTTCACATGAAGCTGTTCTGAATGTGATAGGGTCTGTTAATGATCCCCGTAGATCATCATTTAACACAGTACACACACTGAAACAATTAAACGAGCATATTGACAAACAAAATTCTTTTGGGGTGTCCCCATAAATAAATAATCCAATATTAGTACTATAGGCATCCATACGATTAGGAAAAATTACAGTTGGTTGTCTAACAAATAAAAACAATCGAGAAATAAGCCACTGAAGAAAGGAACAAGAATTAGTAATGAAAAATTAAGATGGTTGAAAATCACTTGATTTTGCACCACAATCTTAATACTGTCTTCAAATAAAGCAATAATAATTGAGGATTTTTTTTTTTCAAACAAGCCAGTCATGAAGCACTTTTTATACTAGGATGTGCTTAATTACATAATATGGGGCAAAATTAAAGGTGCTAAACCTCAAACTCAATATTTTCAATGATGTTCGAAATTATAAAACATGAATCAGAATTCTATATTGATCCATTTTAGTCAATATCAATGTTGTTATCTTGTCGAGAAAATATGGGATCCTAATTTCCAATATTTAAGACACAATGAACATTATTTGTAGTATATATTTTTGTGTATGGCCTAAATCAGTCATTTTACCAATTCTTAGTTTTAATACCATAAGGAAGTAATAGAAAAAAATATGATATCGATAAACATAAAAATACATTTCTTATATGGCCTTCATAATAATTTATAGTTTTAATATTATCGTTGTTTAACGTCCGCTTCCATCGAAGGTGATATCGCACAGATATTAATATTATCAGGAAGTAATAGTAGAAATATATCAAACGGAAATGTATTCAACAATTAAAAATTGTTTATTCTGACTTTTATTTTCTCATTGTTTTTATTAGTGTGCAAGCAGAAATGAAATGAAATGGGGTTTAACGTCCTACTGTTCTGCTCCGACTGGGCAAATGAAGACAGGTGCAAGCAAGCAACTCGAAAAACTGATAAAAACAATTGGCTTTGATTGCTATCTGATGTTATAATGGTTAACAATATGGTAACAACTTGTTTTATAAACTTACCGTAAGAAATAATCTGTGGCTGGTTTTAAGTCCTTTAGAGTTATCTCTGTAGCATCACCACTATAAAATATAACATAATAACAGTTCAGTTCAATTCCCAATATATTTGTTTAGAAAACAGCTCTTTAAACATACATTATGTAAGAGCTAAATCTGCCTATTGCAGGTTTTTATTTAGGCCTGAAATGTTATCTAAATTATTAATTAGACATTAATTATCTTATCCAGACCATAATCAGCTGTCGATGGCATTGCCAGCCTGCGATGTTTATTGGATTAGGTTTCGATTTGATGTTCGACTTCCATTCATAATTTAATCATGAAATGGATAATCAAGACTATGTTTTTTTATCCTACCGACTTCAGTAATGATGATCGAGGCTAGGCCGAAAATTCAATCGCTAAAATCTCGGTTCAGAGTGAATCAATTTGACTGAAATTTTCAGCAAATTCTCTTTACAGTATCTAGTTTTTAACTATTATAGTGAGAACTGCCAGCTCTTTATCTAATCTCCCATAATGTATCTAGTTTTTAAATACTATAGTGAGAACTGTCAGCTCTTTATCTAATCTCCCATAATGTATCTAGTTTTTAAATACTATAGTGAGAACTGTCAGCTCTTTATCTAATCTCCCATAATGTATCTTTAAATAGAAATTAAGACATATTAGAGGTAACAAGGACTATAAATTGGCTAACCTGTAAACTGGTTTATATTTAGCCTCTCTTCCTTTATCTGAGAGCAGCAGTTCATATTTAATATCTGTAGTATCAAAATCTATCTCAGCATCCTCTTCTGGTGCCGCTACTTGTATAAGAGCACTACGTGTTTCAATATCACATACCTACGAGCCAAAACAGAAGTATCAATAATCATGTATATCACATGGTTTTATTGAATACTAAATGATATAGTAACTGGTAAGTGTATGACTCTAAGTATGAAGATGGCAAAAACATTAGATCTAATTTAATTCTGTTTGGCATAGCAAACCTACAGTTACAGTATCGGCCTAAAAATTTCTTTAGTTGATATATTGGTTATATAAAATTACGGCAAGCAACAATTCATTTGGTTGATGGGAAATGCTCCTGGTGTATTTGGTCACAAAAATTAAATATGACATCGAAAAATTAGGAAAAGGTTTAGCCTAGGGGTATGCTGTTAATGTGTAATAATTTAACCTTTCAAATGAGATGTAGAGACTATGACATAATGCCACAAGGATTATTCTTTTTGTTGCTGTTATTTTAATCCATGTTGATGGTTTCACTATGAATTTTTTTTATATTGACCTTAAGTTTACTAAATGTCAGTGTGCTTAATAACGATAAGTGGATACTTGTTGAAACGTTGTGCGTTTAGAATAAAACTAGTAATTGTATCCCATAAAAACTGTGTTCTGTTAATTCTCATACCAGTTGTAGAGTATTGTTACATTTTTATTTTTGTATTTTGTTATGCAGTTTTCCTGCACTGTATATCAACTTTAACACTTAAGTATATGTATATATTCATTAAACACATCTGACATATTCTCCTACCTTTGGTAGTGGCATATTTGATAAATATTGCAACACAAACGTGTTGTCATCTTCTGAGTCTAACGGTCCATTTTCTGTTGGTGAAATTCCCCCACATGTCATAGTAGGATGATGAACATCACCATTGACTGGAAAAATAACCCCACATGATCATTGATTTATACATAATTTAAACATTGTCAAGTCAATATTAATGTTTTACAAGAAACAGTGAGATCTATAAATGATAAGTTTGTACAGCTGTTCTATAATGTAGTTTGACATCAGTGACAATATCTACTCTTTTATTAGCTTTATCTATGTACATACATAATATATAATATATTGTATGTATTCTTTATCTAGATCAATAAAATAGAGTAACATGTCATTTTGGGACTACCATATGGTATTATGTATTTCAATAATTGGTTCTCACACAGCTGATTCTATCAGTGGGGGGGGAACTGGTGAACCAAGAGCCAGACTGATACGGTTAGGAAGACGATTCAACTGAAATTACTATAAAGGTAGCCCACTCGCAAAATGAAATAAATGTCCTACTTTTCTGGGTCAACAAAGGGTAATGAAGACAGATATGTTTTGCAATGTGTTATGAGGGAAACTACTGTGACAGACAGCATTTTTTCCATCTGCTCATCAAATACACCAGACTACATTGTTTGTCCCATCCGAATGACTAGACACTGTTCCTTGCAGCTCAGCCGCTGTATCTTCCCTATCCATGATGTATGAAAAATATGTCTATTATACAAGGAGATTACCTCGCCTTGGTCGACTTGGTCCTATACGAGGCGTGTTAGCTTCATTTATTCTTCTTCTTTCTAATTTTTTCTTCACTCTGATTCTCTGTCTGGCTGCACGATCATCTGGTGCATTCATTGGAGGACTTGGACCTAAAAAGTATCACTAAAATTAACTACAGCCAAAGCTAATGAGAAAATGAACTTCATCTCAAATGTCAACCCATAAAAGGGATTCACTAAGTTAGAATTAGTGAAGCAGTCATTATGAAAAACATATTACAAGATCTTACTCGCATGAATATACTCCATATTGATTGACATATCTATCCTCTACCTATCTGTAGTATATAAAACAGCTGTTTCTAATCTACCTTTAAAGCTGGAAAATTCAAGAATCCCCTGTCAATTAACAAATCTAAAATCACATGTACCTTAGAAATTGTGAATAAAGATAAATGTTGACAAAATATTATAATTAATGTACACAAGATTTATTAATCATGAGTTGAAAAAAGTGAACAACGACTAACTGTAAAACTAAGATTCGTATATATATAATATAGTAGTACTACAGCTGTTATTTGATCAATATTTATTGATATATCATTATTTATTTTTATTGACATGACCTTTAGCATATATAAGTAATAAAATCAATAAAACCTAGTGCAATACTTGTAAGTTGTAACAAAGCCAACAATTCTTTTCGATTAGATTAAACATATTTAAATTTTTAAATATTTATTATGAGCAATAAAAAATCCACTCGAATAATATATACCACAGTAAATGTGAAACCAAATGATATGTCTATACACCCTGAACTACAATAACCCCAAATTTCTTCATCGCAAAAAAACAAACAATACTTTCTCAGTAACGTTTCGGAATCTGGAATGTACCTCTCATTTTTCAATACATTATTATATATAATAACATTACTTTTAAGTCATTGAAATGATGTATATAAGGTTAAAAACTTTTTTTTATATTAAATTAAATCAAATTCTTTGATCAGTTAAACAGGAAACATGTTCTTTAATTTTGTCTGGATTTACCTTTCTCTGTTATAGAACTGAGATAGTTACTTCTTCGATAGTAAATAAGTTGGCCTTTCTGTATTTTCTGCTTCCTATTTTTCATGCACAAACCTCAAGGTCTGCTGTGATAGGTCCAATATTCATTGGTCAACAAGGTTAGGGACACTTTATCATTGCATTGTTAGAGCATTTGCATGATTTGTAAATATTTTTAGACATATTTACAAAGAGTAAAATTACCAGAAACTCAGTGTGAGTCTGTACGATAAACGATATTGTCGAGTGCCGTGCCCGGGACAGATCACTCTTTTTGAAACACGTTGATAAAACTTCACATAAAGAGCAAGCGTTGGAAAAGTGACATGCACCTTAATGCTGAAACCTAGTTGGCTTACCTGGAGAATGAACAGGAGCATGAGTTGAACAGGTGTGACCAGCAGGTGTCTGTACCTGGGTAACACCAGAATGAAGATGTGGGGGTACTGTTTGACCAGGATGAGCATGATGATGTGATGAAAACTGTTGATGTGGTGAATATGACGGTCCATATGGAGTCTGGTAATACTGAGAAGCACTGTTTGGTCCTCCCTAAAAAAAAAAAAAATAAGCAATTAAAATTCAATCTAAAATTTAATATCAAAGCCTCGAAACTTCACACGTAATAACAATGCTTCATTCATCAGTGGTTAATACAATAAAATATGACAATCAATCTCCATATTTATCAGAAGCAATTAAAATTATCAAATAAAAAAAAATAGATCAATAATTTCTCTGGTACTCATTACTCATGAACCAGCAGGCCCATTCAATAATTTATATGCAAGATTTTTAAACTGAATAAAAAAGAAAATATTTCAATGACATTGGGTGAATTGAATACATTAAATATTTGCAAGAACAATACATCAACCAGACTGTTAATGTTCTAGGAGTTGTACAGAGAGCATGCATCTTTATATTGACAAAGTTTATGCTTTTAAAAAATGCATTCATGTAATAAGTGTTAGGTGTCATTCAGAAATTAGTATTTTATTCATTAATTGTGACAGGCAAAACAAAATAACAATGGTTTTATAAAATACATTTAATATCAATCACTTAAGGCATGTCTTTTTTTTTTATATATATGGTGCTTTATAAAGGTCTCTACCAGAAGTCACATATGTGATGTATTTGTTATTGTAGGTTGAAATCAAATTATAACGATTCATGCTAGCAGTGTGGTATTTTAATATCTGAAGCATATGATGAACATGTATGTAAATTCACAAATCTTTTTAAATCCAGATAGTGAGTCATCAGTCGTATTGATGAAAGTTTTCTACTAGATGGATTTAATAATGTACAGAAGAGATTTTGAAACACAAATCCCAATTTTCACTGATTATGATTTTACTGTTGATCAAAGATAGGTTGCCAGACATTGAAAAATATGCCCATAGCAGCTAAATCGTCAGAGTGGTCGACAAGGGATGTGAAATATTTATTCTTTTAAAGATAATTGGGGCATTTATACAGAACAATTTCATTCAGATCAGGTTATAATTTTAGTCGTTTGAGGGTTCACAAGGTGCAACAAACTGAAACAAGGGCTGTAACTCTGGATGCAATTTACAGAAATTGTTTAAATTCAACAGTCTTTTTCGTTTTACTAATCTAAATAATGAACATAAATTTCATACAGATCAGATGGTCACTTTTGTCATTCGACAATCACAAGGTTCAACAAAGTAAAACAAGGGCCATAACTCTAGAAGTAATTGACGGAAATTGTTGAAATTCAACAGCTCTCTTCATTTCACTCATTTAAATGAGGTATATAAATTGCTAGAGCGTTCACAAGGCTCAATAAAGTGAAACAAGTGTCACAACTCTAGACATAATATACAGAAATTGCTGAAATTCCATAGGCTTCTTCAAATCGTTTCACTAATTTAAATGATGCATATAAATTTCAAACAAATTTCATATAGATCGGAAGATAACTTTTATTGTAACAGCGTTCACAAACTGCAAGATGGTGACACAAGGGCCATACCTACAGATGAAATTAATAAAAATTATTGAAATTAAACAGGCTTCTTAATCTCACTAATGTTAACAACATATCAATTTCAAAACAATCAGATGATAAATGTAGTCTGTAGAGTGTTCACAAGAAATTGTGGACCACGAACAGATCGACAGACGTACAGACATACGGATGGGGGCGACGGTAATATACAACCACATCTCCATGTGGACATATAACGTATTTATTTAAGCTCACATGTATTTATGTTTTTACCATTTGTTTTTCACAGGAGCAAAAAAATTAAGTAAATGGGGAAAAAAATCGAAGTACATCTGAAGCAGTCACTGAACAAATTTGATTAATTCAAATTTAAAAACAAAATTATAGACTAAACTAATAAATTAATCTGAAGAAAAAAGAACATTTAGAATAATAATATATTGGGACTTTGGGAAGTACTGAAGGCTTTTACACATCACTCCAAGTGCCGAGGAGTTCTCGAAATCTAGCCTCCAGGACCACCCACGCAGTCAAGGTATCACACGTTTTTCACATATAGCTCTATAATAAGTGAAGAATAAAAGCAGATATACTCCCGTAAATGACTACACACCACAGAATGTACTTAACAGTAAGTAGTTTATAACACAACCAAGAGGAAAACTAACTTACAACATAACCAGTGTATGTGTTAATACTCCCTAATATATGCGTTATGTACATGTCCACTTCATTTGTGACCAGTTTCATTTTTAATGCCAAGACTTTCTGATGGAAAAGCAGTATATCATCAGGATCAATCTGATATGTGAAGATAATTGACAGTACATTGTATTTCTCCAAATATTTAAATAACTCTGAATTGGTTAGTTAATAATATAATAGGTGTTAGAAAAACACTTTTCTCTACATTCAAGTTAGGGAGTTAGTTAATCTTAGTAAACAGACAGACATGCTCATATACTTCATACTTCAACATGTAAAATTACATGTATAATGTTGACAACAAATTGAAAAGACTGTTTATGCTGTTGTTACGGTAATTCCATACCCAGATTAGTAATAATATAATTTGTATACATTTGCCAATGTAACGCTAAATAACTCCATGATTTTGCAAGGAGTCTGATTTTAAAGGATTGAATAAAGAGATAAATTAAATTAATTGAACAATGGTGATCATGTTAGATCTCAGAATTTTAGTGACTAACAAAGTTATTAATTTGTACTCTATCCTCATAGTGATATAGATGATCTAATAGCCTAAAGTATGACAGTTAAATTGCACCATCCTATCTATCGACTGTTTACTAAGATCTAAAAGTATATATATAGTATAAAACAAAGATATAAATCATACCACAATACACAGACGATGGTTGCTGATCAATTAATGAGCATGCTAACATATAGCAACATACACATCAACAGTAATATATTCAGGCCACAATCTGCTTATAAGAATATGTATACATACATAGTATCCTACCGAAATGGGATTGCCAGGAACCGCTGGTTGTGGTGATAGTATAACATGCGTTAAGATTCCA